TTATGATAAAAAGAAAGGCTATTTTGGATGCAGCGTAAATTTCTTGCATAACAGAATCTGTTCTTCAAGCAGATTCATGCAGATTGAATGCAAGCTTTATCTGTTGTAGTTATGTTAATTTTTAAGTAATGCAACATCTGTCCACTGAGACAAGATGGGATTGTATCAGTCCAGGTGACTGACTTAACAGAATGTGTGTTGTCACAGCACGTTAATCTAGGACAACAAGTTTCATTTTTATATTGGGATAGCCCCGCCAACAACAAATGAGGTCTTCAGCAGGCCATAAATAATCTATTCTTCCACACTCAGTCAGACATATAGAATTTGGAGTTCTAGAAAGTATGAGTAATATCAATACTATTGATGTTCTAACTCCATATGACCAAATATTATTAGACTTTCTGAAATTGTTTAGGCATCCCAAAACCATACTTCTCAGCACACTGAGTGGTCAAAGAGAGGTGCTTGAGTGAGTGATCTTAATCAGAGATTGACAAGAGTTATAGACTAACGAAAGACTTTGAAATGTTGGAAATTAGAGACTAACAACAACTTAAAGGCCTTATGTGAAGACTGTCTTTATAGGTTTTCTTTAAGCAAGATTAACAGACTACTTGTTCGTTATTATAACTTTTTTTTTTTTATCTTGTAATTCATTCAACATTCTTTTATGCCAGTTTTTCTATTTGAAAATATATTTTGATAATATTCTCTTTCATTGCAAAGTTTTTGTTTAATTATTTTCTGTCTGCTACAAGGTACATTGCTCTTTACCATTTTCCTATATTAATGAGATAAAACAAATGTGAATTTTTATTTAAGAGTCTTCAACACAATGGTTTTAAAGGGTGACATTTTCAGAATCTTTTGTTCTATTCTTACCAATTCGAACGAGAGGCTTTCCTTTGTCATGCTGTCAACATCTGGGATATGAGCTTTTGCCTGAGCCTTAATGTAGCATTTTTCTCCCCCAGCAAAACGGATTCCGGTAATACCCTGGAAGAGTAGAACAATTAATTACAAAATTCATGCATCCTAATAAATCCTGAAACAATACAATATTCTTATTGCTTTGTGAATTCTCCATGAGCTGCTTGTTCAAACCTCAAATGCATCACATAAAAAAAAAACGTACGGTGCTTCCTTGTTCTCTAACATCTTTCTCTGTGCAATACATTTTATATATAGATCGTTTAGGGATCTCAAACTCTGCTCCCCAGATGATGATGCCCTACAGCCAGAATTCTTGAATGCAGTAGATGGCTAGGGAATCATGGAAGTTGTAGTTCAGCTACACCGGGGAGCCAGCATTTGAGATGCCTTATCTATTTTTTAAATAGCAGAATTGAGAATAAACTGGATTCTTATACATCTATCTGCTTCCCTCTCTATGTCAAGCAACCCATGCTGCCCCAAAATGTATTTATAGCAGTCTATGTACATATGACATCAAGGGGATTTTATAATCATTTAGCTGTTGGAATGTAAATCCACTGTTTTCACATTAAGTGTCTCTTGGCATCACAGCATGGCACACGAGGGAGCAGAGCAAGAAGACTACAGCTCCCTCACCACCTTTATTCCTTATAGCCAGACGCCTCCACTCTCCCCTAACAGGCTGCCCGTCTCCACTCTCCCCTAGCAGGCTGCCCGTCTCCACTCTCCCTCTACCGGCCTCTAAGGCAGGCTGACAAATACCCAGGCAGCAGGACAAAAAATCCTAGTCACCATGGCGACTTGGGATTTGTTGAGCCCTACTGTACATGTGGTTGGGCCAAAGCCGAGAGGACACCCAATTGCGGATGTGTTTGGAGGGGAAAGAAAAGTCTGCTGCTGCAAAGAACAATTTAACATAGGAACCTGGAATGTTAGAACTATGAACCAAGGCAAATTGGATGTGATCAAACATGAGATGACAAGGTTAAACATCGATATTCTGGGAATTAGTGAACTCAAATGGACTGGAATGGGACATTTCACATCAGACAACCATCACATCTTCTACTGTGGTCAAGAATCCCTCAGACGAAATGGAGTAGCCATCATAGTAACTCATCGGGTAGGCAAAGCAGTGCTCATCTACAACCCAATAAATGTCAGAATGATTTCAATTCAAGGCAAGCCATTTAACATCACAGTGATCCAGGTTTATGTTCCAAGCATGGGTGCTGAAGAGGCTGAAATTGTCCAGTTCTATGAAGTTATTCAACACATGATAGATATAACACCAAGAAAAGATCCTACTATCCTTATAGCCTTGGAGTTCAAAATGAAGTAGGTCAGAGATTAGTACAATTCTGTCAAGATAATTCTCTGGTCATAGCAAACACCCTCTTCCAACAGCCTCCGAGACGACTCTACACATGGACATCACCAGATGGACAATATAGAAATCATATTGACTATATACTTTTGCATCCAAAGATGGAGGAGCTCTATAAAGTCAGCAAAAACAAGACCTGGGGCTGACTGTGGCTCAGACCACGAGCTTCTTATTGCAAAGTTTAGAATTAAACGGAAGAAAAGAGGGAAAACCATCAGACCAGTCAGATACGACATAAATCCATTGTGACCAATCAGATAAATAGTATCCCTTGTGAATATGCAGTGGAAGTAAAGAATAGATTTGAGGGACTAGACATGGACGATAGAATGCCTGAAGAACTTTTGACTGAAGTTTGCAATATTATCCAGGAAACCGCAAGAAATAATATCCCCAAAAGAAAGAAATCTGAGAAGGCAAACTGGCTATCTGATGAGGCTTTAAAAATAGCCCAGGAAAGAAGGAAAGCTAAAGAGGGAGTGGAGATCGGAAATAAATGTGTCCAACTGAATGCAGAATTCCAAAGGATAGCAAGGAAGAGACAAGAAGACATTCTACAATGAGCAATGTAAAGAGATAGAAGAAGATAACAGAATGGGAAAGTCAAGAGATCTATTCAAGAAAATTGGGGATCTAAAAGTTACCTTTCATGCCAAAGTGGGTGTGATAAAAGACAAAAATGGCAGGAAATTAACAGAAGAAGATCAGATAAAGAAGATATGGCAGGAATACACTGAAGATCTATACAGGAAGGATCTTAACAGCAGTGATGGCCTCAATAGTTGGTCCAATGAGCTGGAACCAGAAATCTTGGAGAGAGAAGAAAGATGGGCCCTAGGATACCTTGCAGATAACAAGACTGCAGGAGTTAATGAAATCCCAATGAAACTATTCAAAATTCTGCAAGATGATGCTGTGAAATTGATTGCCTTATGCCAACATAGTTGGAAAACTTAGTCTATAGGTCAGTCTACATACAGGTCAGTCTACATCCCAATCCCAAAAAAGGCAATGCCAAAGAGTGCTCCAGTAATGCACTAATTTCACATGCCAGCAAGGTAATGCTTAAGATCCTACAAGCTCGACTCAAAAAATATATAGACCGGGGTTCCGCAGAGCACGAGGCAAAAGAGATCAAACTGCCAATGTACAATGGATGATAAAGAAAGTCAGAGAGTTCCAGAAAAACATCTACTTCTGCTTTATAGACCATTCTAACGCCTTTTACTGTGTGGACCACAACAACATGAGGCAAGTTCTTAAAGAGATGGGAGTACCAGATCATCTCATCAACCTCTTGAGGAACCTGTAAGTGGACCAAGAAGCCACAATCAAAACTGAACATGGGACAACAGAATGGTTCAAGATCAGGAAAGGAGTGCTACAAGGTTGTATATTGTCACCTTATTTATTCTACTTATATGCGGAATACATAATGCGTAAGGCTGGGCTGGATGAATCCAAAGCCGTAGTCAATATTGCTGGAAGAAATATCAACAACCTCAGATATGCGGCTGATACACCTCTAATGGCTGAAAGTGAGGAAGAACTAAAGGACCTATTGATGAGGGTAAAAGAAGAGAGTGCAAAAGTTGGCTTGCTGCTCAACATTAAAAAGACTAAGATCATGGCATACAGCAATCTCAGTTCCTGGCAAATAGATGGGGAATAAGTGGAGGCAGTGACAGATTTTATTTTCCTGGGATCCTGGGATTTTCCTCTCCATGTCCATTTTGCTTGGGGCCCCCAAATTCCTTCAAACGGCCCTGGTGGCAGGGTATATGTACATTTGCATACATCCAGCATTTACACACCAACAATACACCCAAATACACCCTTGCATTCACACACACTTACTCCATACAATAACATGCTTGCATTCAAACACACAAACACTGTTTATTGCTAAATACAAACCTGCAAGGGTGGGCAAATGGTAGATCCCCATCATTGTGGGACTTGACAGATGGGGATCAACCATTTGGCCATTTTTGCGATAGGGGGCCCAAAATCATTCTTCTAATAGGGCCCTCTCTACTTTAGTTCCACCACTGCATGTGCTAACTAGTAGTTATAGGTATATGTAATCAAGAAAGCAATTAAAATATTAACTGTGTATAATAAAAAAGCCATAATAATTGTAATTCAAACTTATTTTATTGATTTGTGCTTTAAATGCCAAAAAGCAAATATAGTACTGATATTGTAAAAATAGTGTTGTCACTGTATATCTCAACTAACATGGAACTATGCATTTGTTTTGTATATATTGGCACAATTATAAAATACATTAACTCAACATTTGATCAATAAATGACTGCTAGTTCTAAACATGAAAAAAGGAATAAATCATTATTTTAGCTCTTCTGATCTATCACTAAAACTACATTATTTTAACATGGTATTTCTGCCATGGAAATGCAATATCATTCATGCTTTTGCACAGTAGCACAATTACATTCACCATTTAGATTTTTCAAAATCCTTAATTTTTAGGATTATTTTTTTAATTAATCCAGGTAGCACATGCCTCCCTTTGAGTGCACATACAAGCCATACCACAGCTAACCATGCTATAGATGTCACAGTATAAATGTCGAGACAGGGGGTCTGGGGTAGATTTAGCAAGGCAAAAACAGGTGCTATTCTAGAGCTAAATAAGGAGCAATCACCTCTTAAACAAACAGAACGCCTATCGACATTTAGCACCAGGAATGGCATCTGTTTAGCCATGATAAATCTCTCCTGAGTATTTTTGAAACATTTCCACCTGCGATTCACTGTATGTCAAAATTTTAACTGCAGCTTATTTACTAAGAGACAGCGGTGCCCAAACAGAGTTGAACAGGATAATAATCCCCATTGTGCTGTAAATTCTATTAAGCACGCAGTCATTTTTTAGTAACAAGAATATATGACATATTACAAGAGATTCTAGAATTATAAATATCCTTCCGTTAGATTTGTTCTCATCTCTATGCAATGAAATTACAGTCCACTAAAGAATAAAAATGGACAAGTCGGGGAATGGAAATGTTGCACATTACAATGCTGTGCTCGTAGGTAATGCCATATTTGTGCTACAGCGTTGCTACAACTTGCAATACCCAAAAGGGCATATCCTGTAGCCTAAACAACAGAAGTATAAACTGGATTTTATATTCACACTTGATAAACAGCAACAGAAGCAAAAATGGGCTGCTGAGTGCTTCTGGATGTCATCAGAAAAATATAATTCCATTTTAGCTGACATCTCACAAATATAGCTCCAAGTGCATCTTGTTTGTGATGTGTAATTGAAGTGGAAGTCTAATCCCGGCGCTCATAAATCACACAGCAGCTCTAGGCCCTCCCTCATGGCTGATACAAGTGAATTATCAGTTTGTTAGCTTGTACTTTGCAAAGTTCTTTCAGGGTGTACCAGCCCATTAACACATTCAGGGTGCTAGAGCACAGAACTGGAAAGATGCACAGACAGGCTATATTAGGAATATCCTTGCGGCACAAAAGTAGGTTTTAGTCTAATAATGCTATTGCCATCTGCTTACAGAACATTACCGGGTCCTTGTAAAAACAGCACATGGTGAGTAGGTTTACTTGACCTTAGAGAAAAAAAACAAAAATGGTGAATCTGTATTGTAGGGTAGCATCACGAAAGTATACAGTTGTTGTACTACTTGATCTCACATGAATCTGGGAAAACATCATGGGATTTGTTCTATAACAAGCAAGAAGTTGCTTTAGTTTGGTTACTTCACCAGAGACCTGGTTTCCATGTGAAAAAACACATTTAAGGTAACTATAGGTAAGATAAATCTTACTTGTATATAAGAGAAAGAAATATATGATGCAGTCGTAGGAACATAGGCAGCTAAAGCTTAAATACAGGTAGATTTAGAAGAAAAAAAATAAAACAAATATATATTAATATAGGTTGTAATTTAAAAACAATATATATATATATATTGTATTATTTTAGGATAAACTGTTCCCTCCTAATAAAATATGCTGCAAAATATTTTAATACACTGATCCACTAAAGTTACAACCAATCACATTCACCAGAAGTAAGCAATATTGTTTTTCTTCTGAGTGAATGAGCATGGTAAAAGGACATAAGCAGTCAATCCATAGCAATGTACTTGGACATCCTTCATATGTTATATTTAAATTATACTTATATGGGTATTGTGGAAAAGTGAAGAATTTAAAGAGGTCACATATTGCTTGATAATAGTTGTAATCAGTGAACAGACCACCATCCATTTTTATAAAATTTAAATTTATCTCTTGTTATTGTGCTACAAACAAAAATAGACAAAAACAAATTGCAATGGAAAGCTGTTACTTCAGCTTTGGTTGCACATTTGTGCAACTTAATATCAAGCTTTTTTACTAGAATCAGACAAGATCAGAATGTAAATAGGCAAAATAAGCCTCACTGACAAGTTTTAAACATGATTGGAAGTAAAATAACAAAATAGATTTTATACCAAACATAAATAAAGTACATCCTCTTTGAATTCTATGGTTTTACATATCAGGACATTATTAGAAAGTCTTTAGGTAGAAGATCATTAGGTAAATGTAAACACAGATGAACAACAACACATGGCATATCACACGGTGTCATGATTCATTTAACCCCTTAAGGACACCATATGTCATGATTCCCTTTTATTCCCGACGTTTGGTCCTTAAGGGGTTAAAGGACCACCATAGGCACCCAGACCACTTCAGCTTAATGAAGTGGTCTGGGTGCCAGGTCCCTCTAGGATTAACCCTTTCTGCTGTAAACATAGCAGTTTCAGAGAAACTGCTATGTTTACAAATGGGTTAATCCAGCCTCTAGTGGCGGTCTTATTGACAGCCGCTAGAGGCGCTTCCGCACTTCTCACTGTGATTTTCACAGTGAGAAGATGCCAGCGTTCATAGGAAATCATTGAGAATGCTTTCCTATGAGACTGGCTGAATGCGCGCGCAGGTCTTTCCGCGCATGCGCATTCAGCTGATGACAGTAAAGGATGAAGAGAGTCCCCAGCGCCGAGGGAGCCCGGCGCTGGAAAAAAGGTAAGGGATTACCTCCTTCCTCCCCTTCGGCCTGGCAGGGGGGGATGATGGGGGGGGGGAGGGACCTAGAGGGTGAGGGGGACCTGAGGACCCTATAGAGCCAGGAAAACGAGTATGTTTTCCTGGCACTATAGTGGTCCTTTAACAAAAATAAAGGCAAAGTGAAGAAGCCGTGTGTGAAGAACTCTTACTGCTTCCATAGGAAATAAGAGGCTAAGTGGCAGAGAGGTGCTGCTAATCAAAAGCCCTTGATTAACTTGATCATCAGCAAGTGTGACCACTTCTATAAAGCCACCGTTTTAGCAGCCTTCAGGTGCGTGTTAGCACAATGCCAAGGAGGAAATACATCAGCAATGATCTTAGAGACGCAATTGTTGCTGCCCATCAAACTGGGAAGGGTTATAAGGCCCCTTCTAAATATTTAAAGTCAATCATTCTACAGTCAGAAAGACTATTCAAAAAGTGGAAAACATTCAAGACAGTTGCCTATCTTCCCAGAAGTGGATGTACCAGCAAATTGACCCCAAGATCAGATGGTGCAAAGCTCAGAGAAAATGCCAAAAAAAACCAAACAAGTTACATCTCCAATCCAACAACTCAGTTAGCATGTTAAATGTTCGTGATGGTTCAATTAGAAAAAGACCGAACAAGTATGGTTTGTTTTGAAGAGATGCCAGGAGAAAGCCCATTCTCTCTAGAAAGAACATCACAGTACGGTTTAGGTTTACAAAGTTGCATCGGAACAAACCACAAGACTTCTGGAATAATCTCTTTTAGACAGATGACACCAAAGTGGCGATTTTTAGGTATAATGCATCGTGCCACGTTTGGTGAAAAGAAAATACCTCCTACCAATGGTCAAGCACGGTGGTGGAGGGGTGATGATTTGGATATGGACTGCAACCACATGACCTGGGAACCTTGCAGTCATTGAGTTGACCATAAATCCTCTGTATTTTAATTTATTCTAGAGTCAAATGTGATGCCATCAGAATAGCTGAAAAAGAAAAGATTTAAGGTGTAGCAATGGCCCAGTCAAAGTCCAGACTTCGACCAGATTGAAATGCTGTGGTGGGACCTTAATAGAGCTGTGCATAAACAAATGCCAGCAAACCTCAATGAACTTAAGCAATGATGTAAATTAGAGTGGGCCAAAAGTCCACCACCATGATGTGAGAGACTGATAAAGTCATACAGAAAATGATTACTTCAAGTTATTGCTGCTAACGGTGGTCCCACTAGTTATTGAATCATAAAGAGCACCTAGTTTTTCACACATGGCTTCTCTATTTTGGCTTAATGTTTAAATAAATCATGACGCAGGGTAATATGTCATGTGTTGTTGTACATCTGAGGTTGTATTCTGCTCTGTAAAACCGTAAAATTCAAAGAAGGTGTACTTTATTTTTACCATGATTATACATATAAACGGAACAAGTGATCAGAGGAATGCCAGACATAGCAGACAAGGCCAACATATTATCACTCTATGAAAACATCCAACATTTCAGGGTAGATAGCAAGCAAAGGTTGAGGTGAATCCCTCAAACAGAAAAATACAATAATCTTGTTTACAGTGAGTATTATGATAATAAATGCAGCGCACATAAAAATACATCTCTGGCAGAGGTGTGCAGGAACTTGCTCAACAAGTTATAAAATTGGCAGATTATTGATCCAGACAGATATATGGTTTGCATTTACTGCAGTGAGCAAGGCTTTAGCAGCATAATTAGTAAATCTAGCTTATTTGAATTTCTCCAAGTTTAATCCTGTAAAGCAGTGTGCCCCATCTTTTTAATATGTGGGCTGTAGAGCACTGAGCAGAAACGTTTGGTGGGTCACAGCACGAGAATGAAAACAGCCGCCTTTGAGATGGTGACATTTCTGTTTTACCTGGATGAAGAGTGCAGCCAATGGGATTATTAATACTCATATTTTTGCAATTCCTGGCCCTGGTGTCATGATCATATTCCAAAATGTGCATGCGCAGTTAGCAATTCACCCATGATGCTATAAGCATGCATGTGCCTTCATGGGCTTTCACCAAGTGCATTGTGGGATTTATGATATTGTACAATAATAATAATAATAATAATAATATTGCCAAGCTGTGCCTGAACAGCTTAATTTATATGTTTTTAAAAAAAATGTAAAATAGTACAGGAGTATGGACTAACATCTAAGATGATGTTCATCTTTAAAGAATTATTCCAACCACCATAACCACTTCTGCATATGCAGCAATTATGCTTGAAACACAAACTGTTGCATGTTGTTATAAATAATTAGGACAAGAGAGATAGACAGCAGGAGAGCTTACTGGGGATAACCTTGGCAAGGAGCATGGATTATAATGCTGCTTTGTGGTTCTTAAAGTAACACTCCAGTACTTTAAATAAAAACATGTATTCATAACCGTGGAATGTTTTATAGTAAATTTAGGTTAGTGAGCGACCATTATCTCTAAAATAAAAAATTTAAAAATGATCTATTTCTCACCTCTAATCCAGTTGCATCTCCATTCTTCTAGTCTAGTGACTGTCTTTTGGCCAATCCAATCCTTGTCACAGATGCACTGAGAGGCATGGTATATGGAACATGGTACATGGTACATGGTACATGTGCAGCAGAGCTTCAAATCTGATTGTTCATGAGCCTCCACTGGGTGTCTGACTGACAGCTAGGGAGTGCAGCATAGAATCTTTATAAAAATGCTCATTCCTCTTGAAATTGACACTTTTACAAAGAACAACAGAGGGGGCACTCTGTTAACTGGTCTTGGTATGTATTTTATTCCTTGTGGACATTAAGTCTGTAGGGACCAGAATGTGATGGCAAAGTCTGACGTGCTTAAAGGACCACTATAGTGCCAG